AGCCAATACAACGTTTCTCTGTTCACTTTAAACAATATGTAATATCTTTGTGTATGTATGTATGTATATACATATATATATATATATATATATATATATATATATATATATATATATATATATATATATATAATTTATATTTATATATTTATAAAAAAATACATATATAGATATATATCTTGGGTATTGATTTACCCTGCACATAGGGTAGATCTAATGGAAGAATATTTTACAGAGAAGTTAAGGAAAAATTACAACCCATGGACAGTACTGCATACAGTAAAAAAGATTATCTATTTTTTTTGGGGGGGGAGGTGGGATGAGGATCTGGGATTAAAACAGTATATGAGACAAGGTGCTCTTATACACTCTATAACATACATACATAAAAACTAAAAAAAAAAAAAAGAAAAAGAAAGAAAGAAAGAAAAAAAAAAAAAAGTAAATTAGTTATTTCTGACCATTATCTTTAAATGATGAAATGAGTTGAGCAAGGTAGGTGTTTCCCGAGATGCTATAGATTTTTTAAAAACTATCATCAAAGTAAATGCATTAAGCCTTTTGTTCCTCAATCCTTTACCAAAAAGGGTAAAATGTCCTATATTTTTTAAAAGTCTGTCTGGCATTGTTTGTAACAAGCAGCTGTTGCCACACTTTTTTTTTTTTTTTTTTTCAAGAGACTTTAACTACAAAACCATTACCTTAGAATTACAATCGGTACACCCAACTTTTCTTCTTAAATATCCATTTTTTATAACTTCTTTGCAACAGATAAAGAAGTACTGTTCTGATTAAAAATGATTCAGATTTCCATGGGAGCAGAAGTCTAGCTCAGAAAAGAAAAAAAGATAAATACAATCCCTTTCAACACGTGCTAATATAAATTATTAAAATGATTACTAATGAAATAACTATAAACAGAAATGAAATACATAACTTTAAATTGCACTAAGATCACATCCAGCTAACAATTAGAAATGCATGACATGTAAGCAATAACAAAGACAGACAGACAGACACACACACATATAAAGCCACGATTTTTGTTTAAATGGGTCAAATGAATTAATTCATACTTTATCCCATTAAAATACTCTTGATTAGACTTATTTCATTTTTTTTCAATTTACTGAGTGGTGCATACAACAAAAATAGTTAAATTACTGTATATGCAAAAGTGATGAGCTTCATGATCTCCTCTGAAATATATTACAGTTACAGCATTAAATAATAATCCCCCAGAATATTACTTCATGATTTCCAGTTTATCATTTTCAAATATATATCCTGTGCATAGAAAGATACATGACATAATATTACATATCAATATATATACACAAATAGGTTTATATATTAATATCAAAACCTTGCAGGAAAAAAATGCATAAAATCTAGTTAAAAAATGGTAATATGTGTATAGATTGTAGTATGAGAGAAAAAATATAAGCAGAGTTTTAGTTTAGAGAGTTTAGCTACCACACACAAGATACACATATTTGTTATAAACTGCTGCCTGTGAAACAATATGGGATGGTTAAACCTACTATCATGACTTGGGTAATTAAGGTAAATAATAAAAACTTAAGAGGTACACTTTACTCTTTATTATTCCTTTACCAACACAATAATTTTTGTAGCAGAATAATACAAAATACATCTCATTAAGTGTGCCAGTAGTCTCATACACAGTAGTAACTTGAAACAAAATAATTATTCAAGATCTAAGAATCTCTTCTGGTTATCAGCTGGTCATTTTATCTGTAGGTACACCAATCTAGTGTATAAAAGTCACTATATTCATAAAAACAGACAGAAAAGGAAAATATTTTTTTAAACATTCAACCTTACTTTTTAATACAGCACATCAGCATGCCATTTGCACGCTCATTTAGTGGCCTATCCATAGAAGAACCTGTAAAAATAAAGGTTATCAAAGATCTTGCAGGGCTACAAGAGAAGATCCTTGAAAGCCTCTTGTCCAGCTTTTGTAATATGACCTTCTGGCTTTCTGGTGTTGTGCACTTCTTTAAAGATGTATCCATCTGCAAATGTATTGTAGTTGTATCACTATATGGGTGATGAAAAGGAACCATCTCTTAATTTTTTTTCAAAGTGAATATCGAATCAGATTGTAAATAATATAAATATATTAGATGTACCTTACACTAGTGCTTGAACAATGAATAAAGAAATCATAATTATTTTACGTTATGGTTTTACCGGCATTTGAGCCTACAGTGGGGAAGTGACATTCATATATTAATTATGCCTATTTTTTATGATAGTATATGACAAGAAATATGAGGTGTCTTGTGGATAAGGGTGGATACACCTACTTCTTACTTTTGGGCTATGAGCATTTAAATTATATAAACATACACATACACATACACACATACACCACACACACACACACACACACACAACACACCACACACAACACACACACACACACACATATATATATATATATATATATATATATATATATATATTATAC